ACGCCAAGCACCTTTATGCGAGCAATGAAACAAACTCTTCGACTAGTAATTCATCCGCACCTTCAAAGAGCGGATCATAGAAGGTGCAAGATGTGCTTCCATTCCTTTACCTATTTCTGTGCTTATTTGCCAATATGTTTTCATGGGTAAGTTTCTTGTTATCTACTTTAATGATATTCTCATCTATAGTAAGACTAAGGAGCAACACCGTGACCACCTTACACAAGTTTGTTCTACCCTACGTGGAACTAGTCTGTATGCTAATGTCGAGAAGTGCTTTTCCTTCACCGATACAGTCGTTTTCCTGGGTTCGTTGTCTCTTCGACAGGGGTATCTACTGATCCTGCTAAGATTCAGGCGATTCTTGATTGGCCTGAACCTAAGACTATTCATGACGTCAGGAGTTTTCACGACTTAGCTACATTTTACCGTCGCTTTATCAAGGGGTTTAGCACCATTATGGCTCCTATCACAAAGTGCATGAAGAAAGGGGAGTTTCATTGGACACAAGAGGCAGTTAAGACCTTTAAGTTGGTCAAAAGGCGAATGACAGAGGCTCCTGTCATACGTTTTCCAGATTTTTCCAAAGTCTTTGAGGTCGAGTGTGATGCTTCCAGGTTAGGTATAGGAGGAGTCTCGAGTCAGGATCGTCACCCTGTTGCTTACTTCAGTGAAAAGTTAAATAAGGCCAAACAACAGTACTCAACTTATAATAATGAATTGTATGTGGTGGTCCAAGCGTTGCGCTATTGGCGCCACTATTTGTTCTTTAATCAGACCACGAGGCTCTCCGTTACCTCAACTCCCAGAAAAGATTGAGCTCTAGGCATGGTCGTTGGATTGAATATTGCAAGCCTATTCGTTTGTTTTAAAACACAAGAAGGGCGTGGAGAACCAAGCAGCTGATGCTTTAACTCGTCGTATCTCCCTTTTGTCGATCATAAGTGTCAAGGTCATCGGTTTTGAAAGGCTTAAGGAGTATTATGCGGCATGTCCCGATTTTAAGGATATTTTTCTTGAATTGCAAGGTAAACAGTCAGATACCACGGATGGCTTCCGCCTTGAAGAGGGTTACCTTTTTGGAGCCAATAAATTGTGCATCCCTCGAATTTCAGTGCGGAATTTCATAGTGTGGTCAGTTCATGCTGGAGGGTTAGCCGGTCACTTTGAGCGTGATAAGACCATAGAGGTTGAACGCTAATTCTATTGGCCTAGTTTGAAGAAAAATGTGGCTAAGATTGTTAGTACATGTAACACTTGTCAATTGGCCAAACAGAAAAGGCAAAACACAGGCCTATACACTCCTCTTCCCGTCCCTAATTGTCCTTGGCAAGATGTTAGTATGGATTTTGTGTTAAAACTTTCACGCACCCCAAAGAAACATGATTCTATTTTTGTGGTTGTCGATCGTTTCTCAAAAATAGCTCATTTTATCCCCTGTAGCAAGATCTCAGATGCGTCCAAAGTTGCCATGTTGTTCTTTAATGAGATTGTCAAATTATATGGGCTTCCTAAGACCATTGTGTTCAATAGGGATGTTCGTTTCACTAGCCATTTTTGGAGAACTTTGTGACAAAAGATGGGTACCAAATTAAAATTTTCTACGGCCTACCACCCTCAGACTAACGATCAAACTGAAGTAGTTAATCGTAGTCTTGGTAATTTGTTACAATGTCTGGTCTAGGAAAATTTTCGAAATTGGGATTTGATCCTTCTAATAGCTCAAATTGCGTAAAACAGTTCCATGAATCGTTCATTAGGTATGAGTCCATTTGAAATTGTTCACGGGTATATAAGCCTAGAAAGCCGTTAGATCTCATTCCTATGTCCCCACAGGCTAGAGTGTCAGTGTCAGCAGAAGCATGTGCACAACACTTTCGTGATTTGCATATTGAGATCAATAAATAACTTGAAGCAAGTAATGCAAAGTATAAACTCCAAGCTGATTTGCATAAACGACATATTGAGTTTAATATTGGAGATTATGTTATGGTCTGCATTAGGCCAAAGCGGCGTCTACATGGACCCGCCAAATTGCAAGCCCGTAGTGCTGGTCCTTATAAAATTTTAAAGCAAGTTAGCCCAAATGCATACATTGTTGACATCCCACCACACCTTGGTTACCACTCTACTTTCAATATTAAGGATTTAGTTGCTTATAAAGGCTATTTCATTCCCTCAGCTGATCCTTTGTTAACTCCTTTTGTGGACCTTGATCCTGATTCTTTAACCACTTCTAACCCACCACCACCTCTCACAGTACACAAAGATAATATTGATACTATTTTAGATGAAGAAACTGTGTTAACTCATGATGGAGAGGTTCAGCGCTTCCTTATTCATTGGGTTGATCGACCAAATTATGACTGTACATGGATCCCCAGAGAGACACTACAGCAATTGGGTCAAGTTTATTGCAGCTTTATCGGAATCAGCAGGATCTTTCTTGGCCAGATCGCCTCCCGTCCACCCAGGGGGAGTTGGTGAGGACACCAGATTCAGACCTCCACTGACACATTTCTACAAACGCCGGAAAAAGCTTGCCCAACCACTCAACTTATGGTTGGAAAATTGATTGCAACCTATATTGATATATCCACCAACAGGGTCGAATTTTCTCCCACCTCGGTAGAGTTGATGAGGACATCTAGTTTATTTATTTTAGTGACATCCAGTTTATTTATTTCATTTTAGTTAGACTGTTATTTTGTTTATTTTAGTTGGGTTACTTTTATGGACTTGTGTAATGGGCTTGGCCCTCTCTCTTAGGGTTTTCTTTGTTATTTAAATCTTTTTCGCCATGTAATTGACAGATAATGAATGAACAATTATTTTGGTAGCTTGTCGTGAAATTCCCCTCTTTCCCATTCTTCTTCCCCTATCTTCTTTTCTTCCCTCCCTTCCCCTAATTTCTTCTTCCTGATTCATTGAATTTCAGCTTCTTCATTAAATTTTCTATTGGTGTTGCATCAGTTATCATCAAAGATATTGATGATACATTCTTTTCAATTTTAGTTGATGAATCTCAAGATATCTCAGTGAAGGAGCAAATGTCTGTTGTTTTACGTTACGTTGATAAGACGGGACGTGGTTGAATGTTTTATTGGGATTGAACATGTTTCCAACACTATAGCTCTATCACTTAAAGCGGCTATAGATAAATTATTTTCAAGATATGGGTTGAGTATATGCGAGGTCAAGATTATGATGGGGCGAGTAATATGCAAGGTGAGTTCAAATGTCTCAAAACATTTATTTTGAAAGAGGATCCAAGTGTCTTTTATATTCATTGTTTTGCTCATCAACTTCAATTAACTCTTATAGCTATAGCAAAGAAGCATGAGAAAGTCCAAAAACTCTTTAATTTGGTTTCTAGAGTGGTGAATATTTTTGGAGCTTCTTCTAAACGTTGTGATATTCTTCGAGAGAAACAAGAAGCCATAATTTCTAAAGCACTCATTAATGGTGAGATTTCAAGTGGGCGAGGTCTTAATCAACAAAGTACTATTGCACGTTTTGATGATACACGTTGGGGATCGCATTATCGTACGTTGGTTACTTTGATTTTGATGTTCTCACCTATAATTGATGTCATTGAAATGATTTCAATTGATGGATCAACACGTGAACAAAGATGTGATGCTGATAATTTATTGGACTCAATGCAGTCATTTGAGTTTGTGTTTAATTTACACCTCATGAGAACTGTCTTAGGAATTTCAAATGAATTGTCTACGGCATTACAAAGAAAAGATCAAGATATTGTCAATGCCATGAGTTTAGTAACAGTATGCAAACAAAGACTCCAAGAAATGAGGGACAATGAGTGTGATTCTTTTTTGGATGAAGTCGTTTCTTTTTGTCAAAAGCATAATATTGATGTTCTTGATATGGATAGTGTGTTTGTACGCCCGGTCGCTCACGGCGTAATAATGAAGAAATGACAATTTTTCATCGCTTACGTGTGGATTTATTTTATTCTGTCATTGATATGCAACTTCAAGAATTGAATGATCGTTTTTCTGAGGCAAGTACAGAGTTACTTCTTTGTTTAACATGTTTATGCCCCGATGATTCATTCTCTACTTTTAACAAGGATAAATTAATTCGTCTTGCTAAGTATTATCCTAAAGATTTTTCAAAGGTACAGCTCATGACACTTGATGATCAGCTTTGAAACTATATTGTTGATATGCGCTCTAACAAGGAGTTCAGAGAATTGAAGGGACTTAGTGAACTTGCATTGAAGTTGGTTGGGACCAAAAGAAATAAAGTGTACCCATTAGTTTACATGCTTGTGACTTTAGGATTAACTCTTCCAGTTGCTAATGCTTCAGTTGAAAGAGTATTTTCGGCTATGAACATTGTGAAGAATCGACTGCGTAATCAGACTGGAGACCAATGGATGAATAATAGCTTAATTGTGTATGTGGAAAAAGATGTATTTAACGAAATCGATAACAAGACTATTATACGGCGTTTTCAAAGTATGAGAAGCTGTAAGGAACAATTGTAAAAAAGTACTACGTTTTGATTATTATCGTTATTTCTAACTTGAAATTCTTTTTTACATAATTTTTTCTCGCCCCCACTGGATCATAATCCTAGGTCCGCCCCTGCTTTCATCCGATCTTCAGATGTAGTTCTACCTACCCCCAACCACGGCTTTCTGCCAAGAGAAACAACATCTTCCAACAAATGTATTGATAGTACATATAATTCAACAAATGAATCACCATTTTGCTTGCTCTATATGTTGTGGAATCTTACCTATACAAAAGAACATGATGAACAAGAATAGTGTATGAAATTGCTCACAACAGGCAATTATCTTAAGTACAGACATTTCATACTCCATGTTCAGGTAAATTAGTGATACCAAATCGTGATTCTCGTAAATGATAACAATTTCCAGGAACAGTCAATTCAAATGAACCAAATTAGATTCAAATCTAAGTGATATATTAATACTTCATAACAGAAAAAGCGGTATGCAATACCTGATGGAAGTCACCGGAGCCAGAACCAGCGGAACTACCAGAGGTGTTGTTGACCCGAACTGGCACACATTCAATAATACGGCGTAGTTTTACCTCGAGGTCCTCATCTTCAGGGTTAGGTTGGGGTGGTGTATACTCAACTAGGGCATTGGAAGAAGTCGAAGCCGGGGGCCGAGGAGGGAGCACCTTCACATGCCTCTCCGCCGCCGTGACAACCTGCAGATCGCCGGCAGCGACTGAAGTCTGCCTATCGGATGACGATGACATGCTAATTCTAAATCTTCTGCAGAACCCTGGGTGCCTCTGACTTAGAATTCGCTTTACAGAAATGTTTGGGGAAATAATAGCACAGGTAACGTAAAATTTGAAGTATTTTATTAATCGAGATGTGAATTATTTGTGTACCATAAGTGTATAATTATAAAATATTCCTGTATCACATTGATGTGCATGTTAATTTCGTCAATTCTATTTACTTGAATAGTCATAATTTATTAAAACAAGTGAAAAATTCTTGTAAGATTTCTCAAAAAATTATTATTATTATTATTTCGTTGGTGGTCGTTTAACTAATTTCTTTCCCAATGGTACAGAATTTGATTTTTCTTAATTGACGGAAAAAGCGATAAATAAGTCATCATTTGAGCATGCTTGAAAAATATTTATAAATAATTTAAACTATATATAGATAAATATAAGTAGTCAATACTTGTGAATCATTAAAAATAAAAAGTGAAACTCCATAACACAGAGTCCATAAACCATATTCACCTCGTCTCAATTGAATATATTTCAAGTACATAGATCTAAGAAAAATTAGTCTAATAAGTATTAACATTGAGTGTGAATAACATTGTTTATTTTTTGTAAGTTGGTAGTGGAATTGAGGTTTTGTTTGATATCTATTTTTTTCAAAATATATTTTTCTGTCTCTTCTTTTCAACCACACATTCTCCATTAAAATAATATTACAGGTAAATAAAAAAACTTTTCATTATTTTTCAACTATACATTTTTCATCAATCAACTATTCTAAAATACACTTAAAAAGGGGGGGGGGGCGGCAAACACCTGCTGAATATTTGCATATTTCCTTATTGGAAAATAGCCCTTTGAACTATTTGTCAAAAAAATGTAACTCCTACGCAGCTAAATAAAGCCCCTATTTGGTGCATATTTTTCATGCTCAAATATCAAATTTCTTATTGTTATTTGGTGCAGTCGGACATCCTTTTTTATCTTTACACTCATATGTAGAACCCATCTTTCAAGCTAACGATCAAAAAATTGATTTTTAAAATTAACACCCAAAAGCATTTAAATACCCATAGGCCACAACTGTAAATGGTCAAAACTCCCAACTATTGGATTTCGAATCCATGGATTCATCTTCAATTCGCATGAACCCACTCGTATTTTTCCATTCAAACTTTCCTCTTTCGAAGTATCTCCTATTCATTGTTTCTAGATCTTCCATCAGGTCAGTGCTAGAGTTTTAGCACTTTATTTATTGATTTTAGCTCAATTATGATTTTCGTGCGATTGTTTTTCTTAATTCAAGCCAAACCTTGAAGTATAGCCTTGTTTGATAGGTATTAAAATTAAATTTTTAATAGATTTTAATAAAAAAAATTGAAATGTATAGTTCAAAATTGTGGGACCCATGAAATATCTGATTAATATTGATTGTTTGATTTTAAATTAAATTAAAATATAATTTAAATCAATACCAAATATGGACACAGTGTTACACCCTACTCATTTTTGGTCAAAGTTAAGAAAACATATAGTCAAAGTCAAATGGGAATTTAAATTGAACAAATAGTTTTTAGGAAAAATTGCAGCAGCGGTCCATAACTTTTCAATATTTTGCAGACTTTACCTTAATTTTCAGTTTGTGCTACTCACAATTCAAACTTTTCAAAAATATGCATCTGAAGTCCAAATAAAATCATCCATTTGACCATTAGTTGACTAAGATCAATTTTGACCAAAGTAAAAATGGTAAAATGGTAACTTTATTATTTAACCCTATAAAACAATTAAAATAAATAACTAAAACAAAATAAAAGGAAAAAACTATTCATGTCATTCTTCACTCCACCCCTAACCTCAAACATTGCCCTTTGCAATCCCTACTCCTCAAATGGTCTCTTTGCAACCCTTCACCATTATTGCCACCCAGCAGAACCACTAGCTCCAGAGTCAGTGAAGGTATCGTGCTTACATTACCCTCCCTCTCCACCCATTGCTAGCAACGACCCAATTATTTCTTGGGCTTAGTCTTTTATTGCTTCGTTACGTATGGGTCAATTGCAAGATAAAATTGATGCTGCAAATGAATTAGCTTTCATTAGCTAAAGATAATGATAGAAATAAGAAAAATATAGTTGAAGTAGGGATGACAATTTACCTCGCACCACCCTATCCCCCCCCCCTCGAATGGGATCCAAAAACCCGCCTCGAACGGGTTGACGGGGGCGGAGAAAGGTGGAGTGACCCGTCACCCAGCCTCATGAAGGAAAAATTAAAAAAAAAATTAATAATTTTATTTTTAGACAGTGTACCTGTTAAAAACCCATTTGAAATTTGAAATTTATTCTTTAATAATAACATAATTCGAAACTTTCAAAATTTTAAAAAAATATAAATTAAAAAATAAAACGGGGCAACAAATGTGACAAAAAATTGCCCCATCCCCGCCCGCCCATTTAAGGTGGCGTGGGGCAGGATTTTGGCCAAATGGGGCGGGGTGGGGTCAGAGCGCCCCGCCCTGTTGCCATCACTAAGTTGAAGGTGGAATTTATAAAGATAATTCATCCCCAAATGCTCAAATTACAGCAATAGTTGCACTTTATAATTTAGCGAATGATAAGGAAAGAATGACCTCAATAATTGATGAATCAAGGGTTTTGATTGTTGTTCAAGTTTTAGGGGACTCGTCGATGAGTGTTCAAATAAGAGTTGCAAATTTGGTGGCTAGAAAGGCGGAACATTGTCCACTGGCACAAGAGGATTTTGCAAGGGAGAACGTGATTAGGGCGCTTGTTATGTTGTTATAGTTTGATGTATTAATGGATGATCCAAAGATTAGAGTTGGGAAATGGAGTAGAAATCCAAAGATTAGTTGCTGCAATTTTCCAATTCGAGGTTTTGAGGGTGGGGAAGGAGATGGATAGTTTCCTTTTATTTTTTTATTTTGTTTTAGTTATTCATTTTAATTGTTTTATAAGGTTAAATAGCAAAGTTACCATTTTACCCTTTTACTTTGATCAAAATTAATCAAATTTTAACTTCCTTGGTCAACTAATAGTTAAATGGACGGTTTTCATCCATTTAGACTCCAGGTATATATTTTTGAAATGTTTGAAATTGTGAGTGGCAAAAATTGGAGGTTATGTTAAAGTCTAAAAAAAGTGAAAAGTTAGGGATCGTCGCTGCAATTTTTCCTAATTTTTATGGGTTCTACTCTATAATTACGAGTACATAGGGGCTATAACTAAAATAAAATATGAACCTAGGGATTTAGTTCTCTATTACTATAATAAAAGGGCTAAAAGTTATCTTATATGAATATTGGGGACTTAATTTGCAATCACACAATTTCTACATTAACTAAAAGAAAAAAGGGTTCCATTTTTCTTTCGGGAAAGGTAGAGCAGTAAGGAGAAGAACAAAAAGAAAAGGGAAGAAGAGAGAGAAGAGAAAGGAGGAAAAAAGCAGGGCCGACTTTTTCAAGCTTGAGTTATCCATTCCTCCGATTTCTCCTTAGGTAAGTAATTCTTTGTTGTTGAATATTGTTACATTTAGGTTTGTAAATAGTGGTTTAACTTTAAAGATTTGGAAGGAAAAATAAATATCGGAGAAGATATGTTGAAGAAAGTGAAACTTTGAAAATGAGTTTGTGAAAGAGAGACCTATTCTTTATTTACTTTTTCTTTATGATACCAAATACTCGATTTAAAGGTTTGAGCTTGGATTTCCTCCATTATTTATGCAATTTTAAACTATTTTTGAGCAAAGGTAATACAATGGTGTTAGTCTGAAATTCTGTCCAGAAAAGTGCTATTTCTGTCAAAAGTTTATGTGCCAACTTTCTATACAGAATGTTACGTTTCTATATTCTGGAAGTTTAGTGCTGTTTTTGTCAAACATTTACGCCGTGGTTGGTTTGCCGTTTTCGGCCCATTTTCTGTTTTCTATTTTCGAAAATGCGGAAAACGAGTTTGGTCCGTCGTTTTCGAAAACGAGTTAAAATTTATAACTGAAAACGCAAAACGACTTTTTATCGTTTTCAGCGTTTTCTGTTATAAATGTGGAAAACGCTCAAAACGTGGAAAACGGGCCGTTTTCGGGGAAAACTAAAAATCGTTTTGAAAATGAAAATGGAAAATGAAAACGCAAACCAACCACTACCTTAGTTTCTCAGATTTTAAAGGTTTGAATGAAGCTAAATTGAAAAATATTGGAGTCTAGGTGTTGGATTATGTATATGGGTTATGATAGGTAGTGACTTGAATTCAGAAATTATTAGTGGATTAATGATATTCAATCGAGTCTGGTGATTAGTTGGTAAATAATTAAAGAAAATAAAAGTTAGAGAAATGGAGATGCAAGAGAAAATGTAGAAGCTGAGGAGAGATGAATTTGCATTAGTTTATTTGTCTGGTTGTGATTTGAGTAATTATACCATTATTTCAGTGCAACGTGAAAGTTTGGAGAAGCTCATGAACTTAGTGAGATTACTTTCTATATCTCTGGAAGCGAAAACCTTATTTTTCAGAAAATAAGCACTTAATTACTTTATATTAGTTTATAACGCATACATGAAATGTTTATTTATTATACTGCTTATTGTAAATTATATAAGTTGTAAAAGTTACTTATTTTAGATGATTGAATCAGACAGCATGAAATAAGCAATTCTTTTTAAAGTTAAATTATATCATCGTCATGTTATATCAGTAAAAATTATTTTAGTATATGTAAAGTTTATTTAAAACCACTGCAAAGTAGTCAAAGTACCCTATGTATTTTACTCATCTGCATTTTATCGTCATATTGTATCAGTATTAAATATTTCAATATATGTAAAGCTTATTTTAAAACTACCGAAAAGTACCCTTACTACCCTAAGTGATTTTACCAGAGTCTACACGGGTGCGAATACATTTCCATAGAGTATGACCTAATATGATTATTTTATGTGCTGTGCATTGGTGTGAATGTGTTTGCACTTGTGTGAATGCGTTTTCACTAAATACGACTAGATATGGTAATTGTATTTGCTCTGCATTGTTGTGAATACGTTTCCATAGTGTATGACTAGAATATATAACCTTTGGGCAATTCTGCACGCGCATAACTAGAATTTAAGAATTATAGAATTATCAGATTATGAATAGTCTTCCCATGTACATCAATATTAATCGACACATGGGTATGATTATTTCGGGTGCCTTTTGGTGTGATTTTTTAGTATATCAAATTTTAGATTACAGAATTCAGTTTATTCAGTTTACAGAATAAAGATTCCATCTTATAGTAAAGTGAAATGACATTTTTACTCATATTTTCATTGGTATCAGATTACTTATATAGTTATATTTAATTGTTTATCTAAAAATAAAGGATTTTATTTTCCCATCATTTTTTTGAATTAAAAGTAATTATCAGATTTTAGATTTTATTAAAGTTGTAATATAGTGAATAAGATTTTTTAGTAAATATATATAAATGGGAAAAGTATACTTATTTAGAACTGTCCACTCACTGAGTTACAAGTTTATATATTTTGTAACCCTTAGCTGAATTGAGCAACATTTGAGCATGTTGATATATCAAGTTAAGCCATTGCCATAATCAGTTTGTATGATTCATATAATTAAGTTAATGTCTCAAGTATTTAAGCATATGGACTCACTGCATTTTTGTAGTTTTATATTCTTCTGGGTTGTATTGTAATCTATATCAAAATGATTGAGTTGGTTACAGTTTGTTTTGTTTAGTATGTGTTAGATGGACAAATGGTCCCTAGTATCTTCAGATAATATATGTTTGGAAAATTTTGTTTCTTTTCAGGTAGTTTTTGTCTGATTTATGGTGGAAATTTTGTCAAATTTTTTATTAAATCCACTATAGTTAAAGAAGGTTAAAGTCAACCTTACTGGTGGGTCTGGTACCTAGCAACATCCATTATTGACGCACGTCATGTTTCGGGTCCATTAGGATGATTTAGGGCGGATTGGGTCAAATTATTAATTTTACCCAGTTACACAAAAGAGTGTGTTTGAGCCCCATTTTCATAAAAAAATAAGTTTTCTAATAGTGATTTTTTTATTATTTTTTATTTTTTTGGAGAATTTGTGGTTAAAAAGTAGGATAAGATTTTAGGATCCGTTTGATTGCAATGATGGAATTTGGGTGGAAAGAAAACGAATTTCAAGGAATTGAATTACCTAAAAATTGTTTTATTGGGAATTGTCAACTGGTATAATTTTTCAGGTTCGTTTAGCTTTGTTTTTCATGGAAATTGTCAATTTAAGGGATATCATCTTTTACAATTGTTTCTAAAATTTGTTTTCATTGCAAAATAATAATAATATTATTATTATTATTATTATTAAATAAATTAATAAATTACAAGAAATCCAAAAAATCCAAAATTATCTATCTTTTGGTGTTCATTTGGTTTTGTTTTACATGAAAATTGTCAATTTAAGAGATATCATCTTTTACAATTGGGAAATTTAAAAAATTAAAAAAAAAAAAAAAGAAACATGGAAACCAAGAAAATGCTGACGTGGCGGCCAAAGTGGGAAAGTCAATTCCCTAGAAAATTTTGTCAATCAAATAGACTAAAAGTGGAAGTTGGAAATTGTTTTCCATTTTCCATGGAAAAAATTGGGCTATCAAACATAGCCTTAGGTTTACGTGCCAATTTTTTTTACTCGAAGAATGTGTGGTCGAGAATGACTTTAGGGGGTAAAAATGAGTTTTTAGAAAAATGGGGGTCAAGCAGGGGCAAAATGTTTGAATTTTTCCATCCAATCAGACCACAACTTGCCAATTCAGTTTACCATTGTATGAAAACATTATAGCTTAATATTTTAATTTTATGTTAGAATTGGTTGCATATGGACAGGTTGCATTTATGTGCTCATATAATGTCATTTATACTACGATACACTGCAATCTAACAAATTGGGAGATTTTTCTGTTTATACTTTATAAGATAATGGAAAATGCTGTGCGAGCATTTTTTTAAATTTTGAGTTTGCTTTCTATATGAGGTGATTTTTGGTTTTTAAGAATCTATTTTATTGGAGACAATATTCAGTGTAGCTACAGAGAAAAGAAAGGACATGGGTTCTCGGCTACAAATTCAGGGGGATGAATCGGTTCTTTTACGTGTCACCCATTCTAACATCAAAAGTTTTTCAGCTGACGTTCGATTCTCTCTACAGGTGGACTTCTTTTTCTAGTTAATTTAAATGATGTTTTTACGTCTTTCTTCAATTAACTTTGTCCAGCTATCAATCAATTCATGAAAAATGACTTTTAGTACCAGTAAATTGTCTCCTCGGTAAATCTAAGTGCCAAACATATTAACTGTCAATTTCACGTGAAAGGATATGACTACAAATTCGTGTTGAATTTGGATATAGGTAGCTGAGTACATGGGCACGTTATTTGTAGAATCAGTAAGCATACTGAAGAATATATATATATATATATGTTCTATATAACTTTGACAACAAAGAAAAGACAAAAATGGCACAAAAGAAGAACATTTGGTTACTTTTGTTAGTAAAGTCTGGTTGTGGCTCAGTGCTTGGTGCTGATTTTAAGCATTGGACACATATCACGTGTCATGTCAAGCATGAAGCCTGGCATGGGTACAGCATTGTAAACCAAGAGTTCAAGTAACATAGGCCGTAAGAAATATGTATGTACAAAATGTAAATGTATTGGCTAGATTACATGTGGTTCTTCTGCTAAAAGCATTCGAGGCATGAAACAAGAATTGCTTGGCTTCTCGTGATGGGTCTGAGATATATAATCTTGATTTTCTTTGCAGATGACAGTAGAAGCTGTAAAAGAGAAGTTGTGGAAGAAATGTGGTACTTCTGTCAATTCCATGTTCCTCGAGCTTTATGACGATACTGGAGCTAAAATTGCAGACGTAGGTGATGATGCAAGATCCCTGGGTTTTTATTCCCCACAAGACGGGTCAGTTCAGTGTCAGTTTCATTTTAAATCCTCCCCTTTTTGGTGAACATGTGCTAATAAATAAACATTATAAATGTCCACATCTTATTACGGTTTTCTAATTTTGATTCCTCTCCACTAAATTCCCATAATTTTTCTTTCAATAATTACTTTGACAGAAGATGGTCATGGTAAATAGTCAGTCTCTTAGATGTTTCAGCATGTTGTTGTTGTAACTTCTCAAGTTTTTGTTGCCCCTTTTGTCTGTGTTATAATATTCATTTTTTTTTATGACTGTCAAATCTGAAGCTTTGTGGTTATGGTGCCATAAAAATGAAAAGAAGTTTTGTCACTTTCCATTATCATGATTACATGATTTGAGACTAAATTTTCTCTAACTTATTTGGATGCATCATATCTTCTTTTGTAGTTTCCGGCTGCATGTCATCGATCAGGACCCATCATCTGTAACATCTGGGGGTTGGCTGGAAGACACGTCACTTGTTGAGAAATACAAAATTTCTGAAGAGGCATATGAGAAACGTGATGGTAGTCTCTGTGGTCATAATCTTTGTTTCCACCATTGCCTTTGGCTAAATAAAGATACAATCGTAAATTAGTTTATTTTTTGCACCAGTGTGTTCTATCGGCTTCTTTTATGAAAATAGTGATGAATTTCAAGGTCATAATCAAGGGTGAACCCAAACACTTTCGATTAGGGGGTCATAATCAAACTTTCAGACGGTGGGTAAACTGTAAATGATAATGACAGTCTGTAGTCGACAAATTGGGAGAGAGAGACAAAGGCACAAAGTTGAGTTTGAAGCTGCCCATTGTATAATATATTTATTGTGTAGATTTTAGACGTTGACATTCTTTATTAAAAAAAAAAAAAAAAGGCAGAAACTAGGGGGTCAATTGATCCTATAGGACCCCCCAGGTCCACCCCTGGTCATAATAATGCATTAGTTCCACCACATCTATAGCTGAATAGGTTTTTTGAAGCTGAGGCTTGGTTTGTTTAATACCATCCATCAGCTTTATATTAGGTAGGTGACTCGGGCAATATTGTAGGTCGAATTGCAGCTGTCAATTCAATTTTCGTTGGTATTTGTAATTATGTCTTACACATTTTTCTTGCCTAGGTTCTTACCTCGTAATGAGATGAACAATAACTTGATATGACCCTCAATTCATTGCATAATTTGTGTTTCAGGTACTTTCAGAAAGTTCAAGGAAAAATTTGGACATCAACATCCATCTGATCACGAGTCTAAAGTATACATCTCTTCAGTATCTTTGGAATGTATTGTGGATAGCTTTTCTGAGTTCCATTCTAGAAGCATGATAATCTCTGTGCTTCTTCGCACGTCTCCCTTGTACTCAACAAATATAAAATTCTTGTGATGCTCTTTTCTCTTTTAAAAAAAAACGAGAATTCTCTGATTCAGAGCTGACCTTTCAGTCCTAGCTCTATAGCCAATAAGAATGTCCAAAAAGGATTCACGTAGCCCGCTCCATGTTTGTTTAGAATATGGCTAGGTTCTTGTTATGGCTGATTTTTGCATTCTTTTGAAGTGTAGAACTTATCCACATGAGCAAAGATTATTGCTAGTTAAGCAACCTTGACATTTTTATTTGTTTGTAGTACTGTTTTCATTTCTGTGACTTGTATCTTTTCTTTTCTACCGACAGATTTCGGACAACTTCATGGAGGATTTCTGTGCAAATATAAAGGTTGGTTAATTTGAACTTTTTCGTTCTTATTTTCGATCGAAATTACGCGCGTATATAGCTTTCTCAAAGATGCCTGTTTCCTGGGAGTGTTAAGTGCATGCTTGTAAAAGATAAGCATTATCAGCAGTTGATCAAGGAGAATCCTCATCAAAGGCTGCTATTGATTCCACAATATCCCAAAATTCTACACTTACTTCTTTTAGGTTTAGCATTGTCTCTTCATGTTACTAAAGCATTTCAGAATCCATCATATGAACTTGTACAAATATAACTATTCTTGACACACTGAATCTGGTAAAGAAATTTCCCAATTTTATGGTGATCACATTATAAGTTTGCTCTATGATAACTTCTGAAACGTGTTTATTGGCTGCTGATGGTTGATTCCTCATCAGTGTTCTGATTTGGGTATGTAAGAAAGATCTGACAAGGTTTTTGAGATGATAAATCCCTAAGCTTTAAAATATTTCGGCATTTCTCAATCTTGAATCATCAGAGTTTGGTGCAGTTGTTAAGAAGAGCATGGCTACTCCACATTAAAGACCATTCGTTCTCTAAATATTCTTTAACCAAGAAATAAACTGCAAATTATTAATTATTTCTGGTTCCTTAAGACTTCTCAGACATGGCACTATGAATTATAATTGATATTAATTCTGATGTTATTTAATCTGACACGTACAATGTGTTTATCTTAAGAACACAGATTTAGATCTAGAAAAAGCTTGAATGCAGAACAAGTTCTTCATATGTTACTTTGTATATTACTTTCTTTTAACTTGCCATCCACTATGTTTCAAATTTTATTAATATTCAATTTTTTTTTTCTTTTGTCTAAATTCATAATTAACAGTCACAATTTTCTTTTCCTTGATAAAAAGGTGGGGGATAGATGTCAAGTTGAACCAGGGGAGAAGAGAGGGGTCGTCAAATTTGTGGGGCAGGCAGAAACTCTTGCACCTGGTTTTTGGGTTGGAATTCAGTATGATGAACCTTTGGGAAAACATGATGGCATGTATGTGACCTCCAACTTCTAATGTTCGTAATATTTGTGGCAGCTTTAATGTATACGGCTTTCTTGCGTAGGGTGAAAGGAAAGCGATATTTTGATTGCCCTCCGCTTCATGGTGGAATGGTCAGACCAGACAAAGTGAAGGTTTGTACTCGTAGACATTGCAATTTAGAGGCTGTTCGTTTATGGAAAATATATATGTGCAGAACCAAATCTGAAATCTTATTGTAGATAATAATGTGGGGAACATGAATCCTAGTTAAAGAACCACATTTTCTCATTATTATCTAGAACGAGCTGACATGTTTATCTAATAAAACATGAAAATTTACAATAGTATATCCATATAATGGGAAAACATTAGCTCAACTGCTGCGCTGATTCAAGAAATCTGAAAGCAAATTATGATTGAACTTAATTTTCAAATTACTGTACAAAATGAATATGCATTACAATGGAATTGGAGCTTAGAAAGCCGTTCAGGGAGAAGGACATTGTTTCAATTTCATATAAAGGCTTGGCACTTGGTTATCCTAACTTAAGTTGGCCTTAGTCGGGCTAAGTTCAAGCAAAGATCAGTTAAACTCCAAGCTTCAGTGATCTCCTAGAAGATACCACCTTGCCAATGAAACTTCTTTCCACAGAACCATAACTGAAAAAGAGAAAATAAAAGGTACCCCTGAAATGGATTCGTGAACCATTTGAACCAGAGCTCTGCTGAATGAAAGAGATTTCTTTTAAATTTAGGTTGATCTATGCCAGAGGCAGCCCTATGTCTAGATAACCCTCTAATTTAACCTGCCTATCTACTGCTCAATCCCCACCTTGCTTCTACATTTCTGCAGATCATAAATGTGAAACATCCGATTCCTATTTCTTCTACATAAGCATAATTGCTCATACTCAATTATTCATCAATGGTAGACATTTATAATATATAAAATTTAACAAAAATGCTAAATTGAACCAAGAGAGATGGATTGGGAATGTAGACTGATACTGGCTGCCAAGGATGAAAGAGACTGAGGTGGTTGTTGGTGGACTTGAACATTGTTGAGAAGCTTGGATTCTAGCTTTCTTGGAGGAAAGTTATAGTTATCTTGTTTGTTGTTTTTTTTTTTTTCAGATAATTTTCTGTCATTGTCTGGGGTTTGTTGAATTACAGTTGGCATAACTGTGTTCGGAAATGAAAGATACTCATCTCTAGGATAAACGGACTGTAGGAAATGTTTATGTTGTGTTTCCAATGCTAAAAATGTTTATCCCATGTTTTCTTCGACTTTATTGATTGACTGAATTGCACTGAGATTATTGGCAGCTGATTATCTATTCTATTCCATTTGCCACGTCTCCCCTTAGTCATCTATCTACATCTAGTATAAGAATGTCCCTGTGACCTTTTCTTTTAATTCACATAAGATTATTATTCTATGCAATGTTCTAAAAAGCTCGCCTAAGCATCATCGAGACGCGAAACTTGGCCTCGCTGCCTAGCCAGACTTGACGCTTTTTTACGCATAAGCTTTGCCTAGGCTCATTTTGGCTCTGTAAAAGCTTGAAGCTTAACCTTGTCGCCTTGCCACATTTTTTAGAACTCTAATTGTATGTATTTTGTTGCTAGTATTTTTGCTTTTGGAACGCTTGTTAATAGTTTTGTTCATTGAAATGATTTGAATATTTCTCAGGTTGGTGATTTTCCTGAACAAGATCCGTTTGAGGAAGAGGAAATATGAGTCTCGAAAAAAAAGGCTTTTATGTTTCACTCCTGATTAATTTCAAACTAAATTCAGAGCCACTTCTATGATTTCTGGAATGACAAGCCTGAAGGAAAACTTAGCATTTCGTGCTATGATTAATTGCATGGCAATGGCATGACTGCTAAATTTATAATTGTTTTCTGGTTTGGTGAATGCAGCTTTACTTGATGATTTGATTAATGTCTGCAATTGCAGCCAACAGATCTTACATTTACATGATTTTCTTTTGTGGAGTTTTTCGTGCATCACCCTCTTTGCTAGCAATAAGAATTCTTTAGGGATTCTCTTGGAGCATGCAATCTAAATTTTCTAAGGATTTTGAGAAAATTCTGGGTTCTCAATCCCTGGCCTTTGCATGGTCTACGTTGGGAATGTCTCAAGTTAGACCTGGATGGGTTAACTTGACAGTTGACGTAGACCCCTACCTCTTCTCATAATTTATTTACTGACGGTTATAAGAATAATGCTATTCGTAATGAGTAACTACAATAATAATCTTGTATGACATTAATCAAAAAAAGGAAATAATCAAATGAATTTTCATATTAATAATGAAACATTCACAAATATGATGTCACATCGTTCACTACAAATAGCATTATTTTGGCCATAAGCATTTGAAAAGTAGCCAACAATTCCATGACATTAATCAAAAAAAGGAAACAATCAAATGAATTTTCATATTAATAATGAAACATTCACAAATATGATGTCACATTGTCGACTACGAAAAGTATTATTTTGGTCATAAGCATTTAAAAAGTAGCCAACAATCTCCAATGAAATCAAACAACTAGTTCACTCTCCCTCTCATAATAGAAAGGAAGGAACAAGACAAAAATGGAGCTTGTTTGAGAGAAAATTAGGATTTTCATTATTTATTTCCTTTCTCTTAAACTCCAACGATTGAGCCTATGTTTGACTCTCATTTTTTCAAAAATTCACTTTTTTACAATAAATTCTTTTATAAAATAATTTTATACATAAATTGAAATATTTTCCTTCTATTCTGATTAAACATTTTTTTAAAAATTATTATTTGAAAATATATTTTTATTAAAATGGGCTGGTCTCAATTTACGTGTGATAAGTTACTGTCTTTCAGTAAAATCTAAAAATTCAAATTGTCGGCAAATCATATTTAATTAATGTATTATTTCACGTTTATTAGAAGAATAATGTCTATCCTGCTAGTATCAGTAATGTTTAACGGTATTTAGATGGCAGGGGGTTATAAATTCAATTAAAGAGATTCTGTATTCTTAAATTTAATTGAATATGATAATTAAATAAACTCTACACCTTTAAATTTTTAATTCAATTCATCATTTATCTTCTGTTTGTACTTCATTTTATTTAGAATACATTTTTCTCTCTTTTGTTTCAATCATATGTTCTTCAATAAAAAAAATATATATTATACTTAAATTTAAAATTTCTTCTTTTTTAATAATAAATTCTTTAAAAAATCACCGTTTTAAAATATATTGGGTGTTTTGACACTCATTTTTATAGAAAAATGAATTTTAGAATAATAGATTGATAAAAATGTGTTGTTGAAAAATAACGAATTTTTATTTATTTGAGTAATATTATTTTAATGAAAAATGTGTGGTTAAAAAGAAAAGAGATAAAAATATATTTTAATAAAAATGAGATTTAAACGGGACAATAATTTTTTTTTCAAAATTTAGAGAGTGTTTGGGAGATATTTTTATGTAAAAATACATTTTTGAATAGTAAATTGATGGGAAATGTGTGATTGAAAAATAATGAAAAGTTTTTAATTTACGTGTAATATTATTTTTAATAAAGTACGTGTGGTTGAAAAAAAAAGAGAAATGCATTTTGAAAAAAAAAATTGAGTACCAAACGTCGAATAAGAGTCCAGTTATCGTAACAAGATTATGATTAGGAGGGCCCCCCGGGGCACAGCTTAACTGGTGGATCAATCAACATTGGCTTGCTTCCAGCGGCAGGGTGGAGAGTTCGATTCCTGGTGGAAACCTGCGGCCAAAAATTTGGTATGGAACAATCACTGTGGAGGAGGGTCTCTTGTGCGCAGAAGTGTACAGTCAATGGAGGAAACCTATGATCTAGTTGAGGCATAACCCGCGATTTACCCCCTCCAAGTATTTAGGGGCATGGGTCTTAGAAGTCCAAAATTTAGTCTGATGTAAATTGGGATTTCTGAATATAAAAAAAATGAAAAAGATAATGATTAGGAGGTATCAATGAGGGTGTCCTTAGGCTCAGTATGACAATCTGTCCTTCATCTGCGAATGTAATTTGTCGTTTAGTCAACCTCACCACTTCCGTGCCTTGCCACAAAACAATATGCCAACTTGTCCTTTAGCTTCCAAAGATCAAACCGTCCTTTCTTCGTGCTTATCTTCAATATTGATCTTTACAACTTCAACTTCAATTTCAACTTTTCTTCAGTGCGTGGCCACCAATTTTTTATTTTTAAAATACTTGCTACTTTGTATTTTTATATTCTAGTAATATTAATTTAAATATTTAAGAGTGTGTTTGATTGTAAGAATAGAGCTTATATGGAAAAAAATAAATTTTAAGCAATTGAATTGCTTATAATGAATAATACTATTTAATATCACTGATATTTGACACCAACAACAATATTTTTTTGTAAAGTTGAGTTTTCTGAGAAGTGTGAATTGTGAATTGCCTAGAAAATAGGGTCGTTATGCTCATTATTAAACTCGTTGAAGAGATGAAATATAATCAAGGTATATCTTTTTGATCAGAGGTTGAATCGATCATCAGAAGAAGATTAGGCCAAAAATTAGGACACTCCCAAAATAAAAACTTGAATAGAAATATGATATTTTTTTTAATGAAAAATAAAATCAATCTAACATACCCTAACTGTTTTATCATGCTAAACCGGTGATAACAAATCTCTTTAATATCCAACTTTACTATTCATTTGATTTTTTAGAATTTAAATCCAAAATTCGTTATAACTTCCCAAAATATATACTTTTGAAGGAAAAAATTTCAAATAAAAACTGCTCCTATTCTAGAACACTCCTTAAGTTTAAAAAATAAAGCAACTTCCATAACGGCACGAGTCAAAATAAAAATAAAGTAACGCCCCCACCCCAACCGTGATATTTTCCTGCAATTTTTTCCTAACTCCATTCATTTACGCGGAGACGCGTGTCCATTCCAGCTGTCCGTTAACCGCTTACCTATTATAACCGGTAACTGTAAAGCTTCTCCCCTTCCCTCTTTAACCGGTTCTTTCACCCTAATTTACCCCTTTATATCACCCTCGTCGTCTTCCCCAAGACCCGTCTGTACATAAAAAGTTGTATCTATATCTATATTAAGGTTAGGTTTTTTTACATGTACCAATGGCATCTCACGACGGCGGCGATAGGATTAAGGGGCCATGGAATCTGGAAGAAGACGAGCAGTTACAGAGGTTGGTTCAGCTGCATGGGGCTAGGAATTGGTCTATGATAAGCAGATCGATTCCTGGGAGACCGGGAAAGTCTTGCAGGCTGCGGTGGTGCAACCAGCTGTCACCGGAAGTTGAGCACCGGCCGTTTACGCCCGAGGAGGATGAGATCATTCTGAAGGCGCACACAAAGTATGGTAACAAGTGGGCATCTATAGCGAGGCTCCTTAATGGCCGAACTGATAACTCTATTAAGAACCACTGGAACTCGACGCTGAAGCGAAAGTGCGCAGCTGATATGGTAGTCGGAGAGGTGCGGCCTGTGCAGGTATTGAAGAAAATAGATAGTGGCGATGTTACGTCTGCAATGATGAATGGATTGAAACTAAATCCTGATCCTGGTGATTCTGTTCTCAACGAATCGTTTGATAAAATTCCAGCGAATATGAAAATTTATTTTTCGTTCATGAAAAATGAGACGACGGCACAGCCGGTGAAATCGCCTCCGCCACCAGCCGATAACGAGAATAATGATGATATTTTGACTGCGTTGACTCTATCCTTGCCTGGGACTGGTAGTGGATCATCTTCTGTGAAGATTGAAGACAAGGATTCTGTCAAAAACCGGCAGATTCAGCAGATTGATAGCCGCGGTAAGGTGGTGGCTACAGCGGAAAAGGAAACCACGTTGTTTGGCGCGGAGTTACTTTCTGCTATGAAAGAATTTATCAGGAAAGAAATTCGAAATTACCTCCAAGAAGAATTCGATGGCGTTATATCCGCTGGTTTTAAGCGCATTGGCATTAGCAAGCTTAACGAGTAATCGCGAATTGGCTTCGGGGAAGAAAAGAAAATTAATCTTTCACGTTTCAAATTTTGTTTTCACACAGGAAGTTTGACTTCTATTATTACAGTGTAATGTAAAAGAGAATCGGCCGGGAACGAAAAATTAACAGAGTTCGAGTTTTCTTTTGCTCTGCCAGTGAAAATTCTATTAGTAAAGTGCTGTAATTAGGAAGATTAAAATCGCGAATGACGTGTCTTTACGGAGTTAAAAAGGGGCAAACTGGTCATTGCATGAAATTATTCGAACAGTGTGGGCCTGTAACGTGTAACTGCCAGGACAGATTAGGAATGTGGTAACGCCATGTAGCAAACCGTATCATTTGAATGATTGTACCTCCAGTTTCCAGATGGCACAAAACTATCGTCGCCACTCAATGTAATATAAAGAGGGTTAAACTATCTAGCGTGATCTGCATATTATTGCGTTAGTTCGAGGATTTACTTAGTACGCACTCGAAAAGATAGCGATTGTGAGTTTCCTCGTCATTAAAAAAAAAAAAAAGGTTAAATAACTGCTCAACTTTATATTTAGGATTCATTTAATTGAAAAGTTGAAAAAAAAAATCAATTTCATGTAAGTTGAAAAAGAAAAAATTATCAAAACCATAGGAATGCATTTTTCATGGAATTAGCAAAAAACATGCTTTAAGTGTTTCTACTTTGAAATTCGAATTTTATTTTCACTTTCGAATCAAATGGTCAAAATAGAAAACGATTTTTTCGGATGTGACATTTTTCGTGGAATTCACTCCAATCGAATAGACCATTAGCGTCACAATGATCGTTCAATTTAATTTTGTTTCATCATGATCACTTAAATTTATATTTAGTGTCACCATTGTCACTCAATTTGATTTTATTTTACCATGATCACTCAATTTCATATAACGCTTCATCATGATCACCCAAAATTTTCATCTTTTTCACTAGTTTTAAAATGGGTAATATGGTAACTTTGCACTATGTATAAAAAATAAATTTTAAAAAATAAAATAAAAACTTATTTAAAAAAAGTTACTTAAAAAAATAAAATAACAATTTATTGTTACAAAGAAAAATAAAATAACATAAAAACTTATTTAAAAAATACATTTTTAAAGTTAAAAAAATTTTATTTTTATTTTATTAATTTGTTTTATGTATGATGTAAAGTTACTACTTTACCCCTCTTATAATTAATTAAAAAGTTGGTGAAGAGAAGTTGGGAGGCTATGACGAAACGTCATATGAAATCGGGTTATCGTGGTAAAATAAAATCAAAATTGGTGGTCATGATGATACTAAGTATGAAATTGGGGGCCATGATAAAACCAAATCAAATTGGATGACCATAGCGATACTAAATTTAAAGTTAGGTGGTCATGGATGGATTTAAACGACATAAAAGACATGAAAAAGGCAATCAATGGCACTCAAATCGTGCCAAATCTATTTAAGATCTTGAGTTTTTAGATATATCACACTTTCACTTTGATCTAGACTATCACTCAGTCCTAAGACGGAGCAAAGATGAGTGTGGAACCTTTTGCTAATTTTCGGAAGAGTATATTTACACCATAATTTTTATTAATAATGCCACATTTTATTTTTACTGAAGGCCATCAATCTTTGTCCATTGTAAAATTTTTGTCTATAATTCTTTTTTGTCGAATTCTTATTTTCAACATTCTATTAATTATCAAGTCTTGTTTTTTATGATAGTTTCAATTAACTAATTTTTTGCCTGCTTTGAATTGAGGATTTTTTTTTTCTTTTTGGTCACACTCTTGCACTTATTCTTTTTCAAAATTATGATTGGATAGTGATGCCACCAAAAATCATACCTATTGACTTTCAAGTTTGACGATCGAGAATGAGCACGAACGAGATTTTTCTACACCTGAAACAAAAGGAGTCTAAACATGTTCATGCCGTCCCTCCAATGCTCGAGTTAGAGATATGATTTATGCGTGAAGTTATAAATTGAAAATCATGTAAAATCGTAACTGAATAATGAATAGACACTTTATTTATAGAGGTATGTAGTACACTCCTACTAAGACTAAATTAGTTAAATATCCTTATCTCAAAAAGTCCTACTCGAGAGGGATATTGGACTTGTACTATAATTGTAGGGTCAATCATGATTTAATGGTAATATTGTCGAGGTAGAATCCTCCTAACAATAGGAGTGTTGGGTTGAGATTTTTGGGTGAGATTAGAGTTCTTAGAGAGTAGGATCCTTTCTGGGTTTAAACAAAAAGGTCTTTGAAATTTAGTGGAGGAAGTGCTCGAGAACTCTTGTACCTTGGGAAAAGGCATCTCAAAGACTTACCCTGAGGATGTTGCCACCCAAATCTTGTGGGAGTGTGGTACTTAGTCCTCCAGGCACTGTCTCGAGGACACTATCACGTTCGAGGACTCCATGACATACGTGCTGGGCCAGCATAATGAGTCCTCAAATAGAACTAACGACCACATTCAATAGTAAGCTATTTTACTCCTCCGAGTGGACTTGTTTGACAGAAACCATTATAAGATATGAGTTATGCTAATTGATAAAATATTGAATATATGAATATTTAAAAAATAAAAGTTATGGATATAAGGGTTACGGTAAGCAACGATTGATGACCTTCAATGAAATTAAAATGTGATGTAACAAATAAAAGAAAATATATAGTGTGAATATAATTAATCTTTTTGAAATTCAACATCAAAAAATGCTTTCATACCATCAATCGATATTAACTCATCTCAATGTTTAAGGAAGAGATTGATAATCCCAAATTTTCATTTGTACGTTTGCAAAGGGTCCATGAGCTTGCACTAAATCTATATTTAATAATTCTAGTTTGTTTTTAAAGTGTTCCCAACTTGATTTAGTTTGCTCTTAAAATACAAAAAGAAGAGGAGAAATGACTTTGTCAATCAATATCGTCTCTAGTTTATTTTATAAAAAGTCAAGATGTGAAGCACAAAATTTAAGCTAATAATAAGTAAATTACCATCTTGTTCATAAAAAACAAAAATCTGCTGTAAAATAATGACATAATTATTGATGATTATTTAGTATTATCATGATACATAGATAAGTTTTATCTAGTTTAAAAGATTTATTTCATTCCAATTGTAACTCTGATTTTGGACCATAAATATAGAGCATTGATTTTTAATAATACACACAAGTTATTAATTTTTCTATCTTCTTCTCTCTAATTTATAACATATTATCGGCACGATATCTCATTATGTGAAGCTTACCCTGCCAAATGAATTCTTTTCTCTAATTTTTGATCAAATCTCTTTCTCTCTCTCTAGTATATATATATACAAGCATATATGTATATATTATCTTGAAAATTGTAAAAGAAGAAAAAAGGGGGCATTGAAAGTGGATGAATTGATTGCCAAGTGCATATAGTGTATTAGGTTTTTTGGCTAGGCTTTTGCTCGTTGGTTATCCTATTTACAATGGGATTTTCCAGAAATAAACGAGGAGTATTTGAAGCATGAGATTATGAAATATATCGCCTTTAATCATCGCAAAACCTTCTAGTTTGGATTAATGCAATAGCCAAATAATAAATTGTTACTTATGCAACTGGTAATTAATTCCATAATTTTTGTTCCATAAAAAAATGCTAATTATTGGTTTCATAAAAAATTGCACGTGGTGTATTTAATTGTTTGTTTCTTATTTATCGCTCGATTAATTATCACATTCATATTTTTTTAAATACATAGTATAGTTTATGAATTCAGTATTCTGATAACTCTTTGTTACAAATAATTTGTTGGTGCTCTTGAAGTAATATAATATTGTTAGTATTCTAAAAGAATATTATTGCTCCTAAAGAGGCATGCTATTATTGATAAATATTTTATTTAGATTTTACTTGCTTCTAAAAAGTATAATTAAATACGATCTAATGCAAATTATATTTTACTCCCGAAGAGTAAATTTCTATATAATTTATTATAATAATATTTGATTGATCTTAAAAAGCACGAATTGTAATTTTCAATACTCCAAAAAATATTGACATATTGTTTTTGAAAGAGTAATAATAAAATACGACGTGCTCTCGAAGTAGCACCATGTTTCAAAGAATATATCATTTTGAATTCGTGTTTATCCCTAAAAGAAAACATACACATTCAATTTTAATCATATTTTTCGAAATCAAATAATTGACTTATATCTTATAGTGAACCAGAAGTTTAATTTGATTGGCATGACCAGTTGGATCATCACTAGATCGATAATGATGCGAAATGAAAAATTCAAATAGATATTCAATGAAGAATCAGAAGATTTTTCAATTCAATAATATTTAATGTTTGTTCTTTTTCACGAAATTTTTTATTAACCATCATTAGCTAAAATAGAGGGATGAATTCCATATATTTCTGAAAATTAATTGAGTGATAAATGGGGCCCCATCATTACCTATGTTGATCATCTAAATATTATTTATATCTAATAAATTTGATATATATATTAGATGATTGCATGGTATTCACAACCTGAAATTTGTAAAATTTCTATTCAAATTTTAAATTATGAGCATAATTTTCATATTATGCCCTTGTTTGAGCCCCAATTTTTTGGGATGAATGAATTTTTAAATAGTGTATTGATGAGAAATATGTGGTTAAAAAATAAGAAAAAGTTTTGAATTTGCGTGTAATATTATTTTATTGAAGAATGTGTGGTTGAAATGATGTCAAAATACTGTTGAAAAATACATTTTTCCAAAAGAATGGGGCTCGAACAAGGGCTATATAATCAAAACTTTGTCTTATTAATACTAGGGGCATAAATCTCAACACTTTAATGAGTGTTAGTTGGGATGTCGATAAATAGTTTAAGAATATGGTTTGTTAATCGCCTCCAATTAATTTAATTAAGAATAAAGTGCTTTCCAGTTTTATTTAGGGAAAGCTATTGCGCATCATGTCAATATCATAGTTCTCCCTATTATAACCGACTTATGGTCAAAGCTTAATTTTTCCATCTAATTATTTTGACAGTGCAATAAATGTGAAATTGATCCACGACAATACACAGAGGTGGAAAATAAAGAATTTTGAAAATAAATGCGTAGTTTAAACCCTTAATCCAAATGAAAGATATTTTATAACGCTGAAAAAATGATTGTCAATTTGTTTGGACAATTCTCTTAGTATTGAGGGAGAGAATTAAGAAGCTAAAGATAATAAAAAAATGTATCACTCGAATTAAAAGTTCGAAAGATAATTTATTTAGGTACACTTATTGATCAAAGGAATCAACAATATCTCATGACTAATTTTAAATACTTCAACACGAATTGATGTCCTATGAGGACAATTTATTGGCATTATATTTGATATATTTACAACAAGCTTAAACTGTGATGGTATTCGATAATAAT